ACTAGAAATGTCAGACTGACTTATATGCCAAACATATTTCAAAACTAGAAAGCTACATAATAGCATGTGGGAATTAGAATAATGCTCTTAAGAATTTAATATAGCAATTGGTCTAAATAGACAATACCTTCAAATAAAAAAATTCATCAAGACCTATTGTAATTCACAAGATTCCAAAATGAAAATGAAACAACAAAATCTTTCAGATTCACAATCAAACCCAAAATTAGACAGCTATTATCGATATATAACCTTTAGTAGAGTTTGAGAGGGAAATAAGACAAATTAAAATTAAAATCCAAGTTCTTATTTAATACACACACAAAATATGAAATGATATCGATCACTATCTTACTTGATTAGGCCTGATAGATACCCCCGAGGGAGAAGGATCAGAATTTTGATATACACCATGATGATGTAAGTTTTGAAGACCTCGATCAGATTGAGACTCATCGACAGACGCTTTTGGCTGCCCAGGCCGCACCGGACTGATGGATGACAGTGTAGAAAGTGTGGGTGATGAAGAGCAGGATACTGATAAAGCTCTCGAAGATGCAGGATAAGGAGCCTTATTACTGATGTTATTGCCATTGCCGCTGTTGTTAGTAGCAGCTGCCATGGCAACAGCCGCCACGGCAGTAGCGAAAACATGTGCAGCCGCTGCAGATGCGGTTGTATCTGTAGGCTCCGCATTACCATTGGAGCCAGCAGATACATCGGAAGCACTGGTTGGATTAGAATCTGTAGTCTTTTTATCGAAAAGCGAACTAGCAGACGAAGGAGGTATAGGAGAGGAAGGCAATGCAGATGGAGCTGAGAGAGTGAGCGGTTGAGATGAAGCCAGAGATGGCGTGGAGCCATTTTCATCAACACGAGCCCGCTTCCACCCATGAACAGATGCCCAGGCGGTGGCGAGAGCATTTACCGCGGATGCAGCAGCAACAGTAGAAGCGGGAGCAGGCGAGCCAGCAGAGTTGCCACTCATAGAAACAGAGCTAGGTGCGGAGGATGAAGAGGAAGTTGATGATGAGGAAGAGGACGAGGACCAACTGTGCGGAGGCCAAGTGGAAATAGCAGCATCAGGATTGTTCTGGGCAAAACGTTTGTCAACTTCACTCACAGGAAATCTCGGTGAACCTGGCCGCTTTCGAGGGTGCTCTGCAAGTAAATCAGACAACGCAAGTCAACCAATATAGTTTTTGCAATAAATTAACATAGATTATTAGACTTTTTATCAACTTTTAGATGCTAAAAAGCTGATTATTTTAAAGTATAAGAAATTGTAAGAGATCTTAGATGAAGAAATTAAATGAAG